GTCCGGACCTGCAGGCTGTGACGTGGATCCCAGAGTCTGGACCTGCAGGCTGTGGTGATGGAGCAACTCGAGTGGACCTCCCGCTATTGAGTGAGGGGCCACCAGCTTAGGCTCCTCCCAGCGTGTGACTGTGGAGGGACTGCTGGAGAGACTGCCGGAGGGACTGTCAGAGGTCCAAGATGCACCTGCCGTTGGGTCCCAGCTACTGCCCACTGTCCCCGCTGCCTGTGGCTGGCTCTGTTGACCTGCCTTGCCCCTGTCCTGGCCCTTGAGTAGGAGAGGCCATCTCTGGGCTGTTGGCCACCTCCTCACAGCCCTGGTGAGGGCAGTGTGCTCGGGAGGCCAGGAGGCCGCATCAAAGCTGGGCTGCCTGGTTCGTCCCTGGCTGGAGTCCCCCTCTCTGGGGGAGCGTCCACAGGAGGAAGCTGCACGGGGCTCCAGAGGGGAGGCCTGGCCAGGGACAGTGAGGAGGGCAGGGAGGGGACAAGGGGCAGCTGCAGCCACGACACTGGGCGTGCGCCCACTCTGCAGGATCCACGGCTGGGCCTCACACTGCCCTGAGGGGGCCTTGGGCCACTGGGACACGGCGGGAGGCCAAGCAGTCACGGGGCAGAGGCGCTGGGTGCTGACTCTGCTGGGCTCCAAGTCACCTGGAGGTTTTATGCCCAAGTGCAGGGCGGGCGGCACCGAGGGTGAAGTCCTGCGCACAGTGGGACGGCTGCCCTGAGCTGCACCAGGCACGAGGCAGGCAGCGCCCCAGCCCTGCCAAGCCCGGGCCACAGCCACTCCCTGCCTGAGCCCCGTGTCCCCAAGGTGGCAGGCCCTAGGATCTGCCTGGCAGCTGGCCCTGGCTCTGCATTTGTCCCCAGCTAGGGCTGCCATCTTAGCCAAAGAGCCCAGCTCTGTCAACCTCGTACGCTTTGCACAAACTCCCACCTCGCCGGCTGAGCTGGTACCTGAGGGAAAGAGGATGAGGATGACCAAGTGCAGGAGGAAAATGAAAGAGATAAGAACGATGTGAAAGGTCCCTCAAGAACTTGGGGTAGAGAGAGCTCTGATGTGGTGGACACCTTGGGGAGGGGTCGGGAGGGCCACTGGAAGCCTCCACATTTTCAGCCTCTGACTAGGTGGTGGGAGAGCATCGGTGCAAGCAAGCAGCAAGGGAAAGGCCCCGAGGCGGCAAGCCTGGGGCTTTGAGAGTGGGCAGGATCTGGCCACTGTGTCCTGAGGAGTATCCAGAACGGGCCACAGTCCTGCTGTGCAGTCTCCGGGGCCTCACATGGGAGCAGGCATCCACCTGATGGAGGAGGACAGTCTTGGGTCCTCCTGGCACCTCTGCACAGGCCAGAGGACCGCTGCAGGTGCAGGGGGTGGGGCTGCTCAATGTGCGCAGAGTGGAACTCAGCCGGACTCTGAGAAGGGCGGGGATGGCCGGGAAGCCTCCTAGTCTCCGGCCAAGCCCCACCAGGCCTTGAGCAGTTGCAGGTAAGGCCCCACCTTCCTGTGCACCCAGCCCCTCCCTCTGCCGTGGCTCCAAAGTTGAAGTGACACTTTATGCCAAGTGACAAGTCTGCCGTTCGGCCAGCTGCCCCAGGGTGGGTGGAGTGGCACCTCAGTACACCAGGCGGGCGGTTTCCCAGCTAAAGCACGCGCCCCTGAGGTCACAGATCCAGGGGAGGAGACGCCAAGGACTGAGATGAGGTCCCCTGCCCGAGGTGCCCCGCCACGTCTGGCTGGACGTGCACACTTCCCACGGTCATCTAGACGCAGTGCTGGCCACACCTGGGGCCTCTTCCTTGGGTTGGAGGGGCAGGAGGCCGGTGGCGGGGATCAGAGATGGGCTGCGGCTGGAGGCTCTGAGCCCCGCCCTCAGGGCCAACAGGAGCACGGACAGAGGCAGTGTTTCCGGAAGGCTCTGCCCTGCGAGGCCCGGCCTTAGGAGAAGAAGATGCTCAAACCCCCCCCCCCCCAGTCAGGAAGGACTGAACCCCACCTTCTAGCAGGTAAGGTCCCTGCGGAAGTTTGTGATCAGAGGTGGGTTCTCTGTACCCACCCACGGTCTGCATCCTCAGCCCTCGGCCAGGTGAGGGTGGGGGCGGGGCGAGTGGCGGGGCCCGTGTTTGCAGGGGCATCTTGGATGGCAAGTCTGTGGCTGTTTTGAGGTCTCCCCAGCCTCGTGGCTGAGAATGTCAGTTGGCCCCAAATGGGGCTTCCAAGGGGGTTTTCCCACCTCCCCACCCCAACTCCACAGACACCAGCAGCTGGTGATTTTCAGGGTCAGAGGAAAAGCCCCTAAATGTTCTGCAACGGCTTCTCACCTCCACCTGCCCCTGCCACCAACGCTTCTTCCCCGGTATCCCCGCCTGGGCTGCGGGGGACGGGGGCAGGAAAGGCGGGGTTCCTCTGTCTGACCCTAGTGTGCCCAGAGCCAGCTTTGGGCAGGAGGAGCAGTAGGACTTTCTAGAAATCCAGGCCCCAGTGGCTTAGATCCTCACAGCTCCCGGGTGCAGCCCTGGCCCTGTTACCACTGTTGACCGGTGACGAGTCCTTGCTCCCCGATGTTGAAGAATAACACCAAAGAAGCAGGCCGAGGCCAGGTCAGAGTAGAGATTAGAAGTTTATTAAAGGACAGAAGAAAAGACTTCTCCCGGAGGAAGAAGGGGACCCAAGAGGTGGAATCCGTGGAAGTGCGGTTGTCTCCCCTTTTTATAGTTCTTTCAGTGATGGCCTATAGGTGGGAAGGCCCCAGGGGTGGGACACAGGTGGGCCAAAGAAGTAGTCTGAGCAGGAAGGACTTCATTAACATTTCTTTGGGATGGGCTATCTTCAGATCTGCTGGGGGCTCTTCATTAATACTTCTTCCAGGTGGACTTTGGCCTAGGGCCTTTTCAGGACTTCATTAACATTCCATGATTGTCCTGTGTTTTCCCTGAGTCATTCCCAGCATGGCCTCCATCTTAGATTTCACTCGATTTTAGGCCCGATTTACCTAACTACACTAACTACCTAACTTTAAATCTGGCTTCAGCCCCACCTGGCGGCTGGGGGAAGCCTCAGCCCCTCCCTGACCCTGAGGCAGAACCCACTCCAGGCAGCCCCAGGCCGTGAGTCCACCCTCCAGGGTGGGAAGCCTCAGGTTGGAGCACTGGGTCTTCACGTGGCCACCCACACCTGGGAGCTCCGGAAACGCCGCAGAGCCTGACTTCAGGGTCTCTGTGGACCTGGGTGGAGGTACATTTAGAAGCTACCAGAATTGCCACAGGGTTTGGGAGACACGTTTAGAAGGGCCTGAGGCTGGCCTGTCGTCCTCCCTCCATCCCCCTCAGGCCAGTTGAAGGTCAGCTAAAGGAATGGCCACGGTGGAGGTGAGGCAGAAAGCCCCCAGGTCCAGTCCAGGGATCAGAGATGAAGCATCTCCTGACTCCACCCACCGGTGGCCAGCAGCGGACAGGGACAGGGGGTAGCTGGGGCCCACCTGCCTCTGCACCCCAAGGCACAGGGAGCAACAGGCTGTGGCCTTAGCCCCTGGATGCTCAGCTGTGCCTCTGGGCAGTGGGAGGGCAGGAGGGGGAGAGGGCTTGCAGGAGAGGGAGTGACCTGTCCTGGGCCAGGAAAGACCCTCAGATGGTAAACCTTTCCTGGGAAATGCTCAAAGTGTCTGGTGCTCAAAGTGTCTGGTGGTCCCCACCCCACCCCCACCCTAACCTACACCCCCC